TTTTTTAAAATAATTTTTTTTGTTAATGCACACAAAAAAAAAAAAAAAAAAAAAGAAAAAAGAAAATAAGATAAAAATAAAATAAATACATAATTAAGTAAAAATTGTTAAAAGAATACATATAAAACACGATCATTTTGCTTTTGTAATTAATATATATATATATATATATTATATATATATATATGTGAAAAATATAAGAAAAGTAAATATGAATCAGCAACAAATTTTAAACGATTATAAATTATTTAATATATGTTTAAGTAACTATTTAAAATGTGAAAAAAAAAAAAAAAAAAGGAAATTATAATGATGGAAAATCAATATCATATCTTTTATGATTATGTAGTAAATTATCTCCTTTATCATATCTTTTTTCATATAATGATATATCTCTACAATAATCTAAATCATTTATTATATTTTGCGAATAATAAGCTTGATATGGATAGTTAATTAAATTATAATTAAAATTATTATTTTGCATATTATTATTTTGATTATATAAAAATAACCTATTATCATCTTTCTGAAAATCTCTATTTGAAAAATACATTACATTATTCATATTGTTGATAGGAATTTTGTTAACATCATTTTGAGCAATTTTTTTTTTTTTTTTATTTGTGTTTTTTTTCTTTTTTCCTTTTAATTCTATTTCATTTTTGTTATTTGGTTCTATTGAAACTGCTTTGTTTTCATCTATATTATAATTTTCTTTTTCAATAGCACTCCTAACTGGTTTTACATAAGGAACTTTTTGTTTATCTATATTATTATTGTTATTTTCTATTTTTAAGTTTAAATTATGCATTTTTTTTGGTGAATTATTATCTTCCGTATTCACATTAGAAAACATATTTTTTTTATAATTTTTTTCAAAATTAGCTATATTTTCTTTTTTATTGTTTAATTTATCATGAATATCATTTATATTTTTTTCCTCTGTATAATCAATATTATTGTTATTATTAAAGGATTTTATATGTTTATTTAAAATTCCATATCTTTCATCACTTTTATTACAATTTTTTTCATTTATTTTATAATTATTATTATCATCATTACTATTATTATCATTATTACTGTTATTAGTATTAGTAATAATAGATTTAGTGGTGTTACTTTTTTTATTAATATTAACATTACAACATTTATTATTATTACTGTTATTTGTGTTACTAATTTTGTTATGATTGTTATTATTATTATTGTTATTATTATTATTATTATGATTGCTATTATTTTTGTTAATAATTTTGTCATTATTATTGATACTATTCTTTTTATTATTATTTGTTTCTATTTTTTTTTCTGTAGAAAAATTAGTGTGAACTATGTCATTTTTATTTGCACTTTTCTGTGACATCCTTAAGTTTTTTTTATTTGAATTATTATCATTTTTATTGTAATAAAAATTCTTGTTTTCATTATTTGCATTTTTTATTTTATTATTTAAGGAATAATAGGAATTTAATTCTTTTTTTATTGGAAAGGAATTTTTGTTATGATCAATATTTGTTATTTGATTTTTACAATCATTATTTAAGTTATTATTTATATTCAATTGAGGATATATATTACTATTTAAATTGTTTTTTTTCACTTCATCTAAATATGCATTGACGGCATAAGGATTATTATACATTGAATTATTTATATCATAAAAATTTCTATTAACGTTTTTAGAAGTTTTATTATTATTATTATTAATATTATCCTTATTATTATTATTATTATTATTACTATTAATATTATTTTTATTTTTATTATTATTATTACCAGCAGTAGTAGAATTATTATTATTATTACTACTATTAATATTATTATTATTATTTTTATTTTTATTTTTATTATTATTATTACCAGCAGTGGTAGAATTATTATTACTATTATTACTTATCTTATTAATATTATTATTATTACTATTATTATTATTATAATTATTACTACTATTATTATTATTATTGTTATTATTATCATTATTATTATAATTTACATCATTACTGTTAATATTATCATTATTAATGTTATTACTGACATTATTATTATTATTACTATTATTACTACTATTATTATTATTATTACTATTATTACTATTATTTTTATTATTATTATTACTATTACTATTATTATTACTATTACTATTATTATTATTATTACTACTATTATTATTATTATTATTACTATTATTATTATTATTATTATTACTGCTATTATTATTATTTAAATAACCATTATTTTTATAGTTGTCAAAATATTTATTAGTGGATATATTATTATTGAATGGATATAATGTATTATTATTCATAAAATTTTGCTGATTTTGAAGATTATATAAATAATTTGAATATGGAATATTATTATCATGAAAATAATAAGATGATGGAATATCAGCAGATGCATTCAAATTACATATAGGAACATTTTGTGAATAAAATTGATTAAAAGAATTATTTGGAAAAATATTATAAAAATTATTCATATATGCATACGGGTCTGCATTGGATATATTAAATGAAATATTATTTACATAATTATTATTTATATTATCACTATCTAATTTCAAAATATTTTTTTTTTTATTAAAATTTGAAAAAATTCTTGCTCTGATTTTATTATATTCTTTTTCTCTTTGTTCTAAGGTCTTTTCATTTTTCGTATTATTATTATAGTTATTATTACTAATAGATGATTTTTCATTAACATATTCTTCATATTTCATTTCATTTCTTTTTAAAAGTGTAATTTTTTTTTTCGAGTTATTATTTTCTAAAAAATTGTCTTCTTTTTCATATCTATTTTCTTCCATTTCATTATTATAATTTATTTCATTTTTTTTATCATCCTTATAATTTTCTTCTTTAACATATTGAAAATGATCTTTTTTATTTTCATCATGTTCGTCTTCATTACTTTCATTTCTTTTTTTCTCATATAAATATGAATCTTTTTCAAAATTATCATTCATGGTACTAACGTTATGTGAATAAAAAGTTTTTTTTTTTAATTTTTCATCTATTGTTTCACTTTTTTCTGCAGAATTTAAGTTACCTTTTACAAATTTGTTATTTTTATGTGAATGTTCTATATCATTATTGTCCCACTTTTCTTTATATAAAATATTTTTATTTATAATTTTTTTTTCGTCAGCTTTGTTTTCATTTATCATATTTTCTTCAACTCTTTCTTCATTTAGAACCTTTTCATTGTTTTTATTCATCTTTTCCGTTTTAATTAAAGAAGTTTCACATTTTAGAAACGTATTGCTTTTTTCTATATTTTTCTCATTTATGTTTTCTTCATTATTAATATGATTTTCTACTTTTCTTTTTATTTTATCCTTATTTATTTTCATATTTTTTTCATTATAATAATTTTGATTAATTACATTATCATTAATGTCTCCTTTAATAAAATGTGGAGAATTTTTCATTTTTTTATTATCTGTAGATTTTATAATTTTATTTTGAATGTTTTCTGAACATTCCTCTAAATTTTTAATGTTCATATTTTTAATTATTTTTTCTTCATCGTTTTTTTTAAAATTTTTTTTATTAATTATTATATTTTTACTATTCTTCCAATTATGAATATTATATTTTTCTTCATTTGATTTTTTTGAATTCTGATTATTATCCTCTACTAATTTAGAGATGTCAGTTTTATTTTCTTCATTTTCATTTAAATATATATTTTGTTTCTTTTCGTTGATCATTATGTATTTACAAAAAATATAAAGTATTTTTTTTTTTTTTAATTTTACGAATTATAAAAAAAAAAATCATTTATAATTTTATGACATTTGTACTTAAAAAAAAAAAAAAATTATATATATGAACAATATTATTCATTTTTTTTTTTTTTTATTTTTTCTATTTAAAGTTCTTGAATGGGAAGGTTAAAAAAAGAAAAAAAAAAAATTTTTCATAATGCAACAAATTAAAATTTTTTTGTGATCATATTTTAATTTTTTTTTTTTTTTTTTTTTTTTTTTTTTTTTTTTTTTTTTTTTTTTTTTTTTTTTTGTCCACCACTTGAAATTAAAAAGATTATTTTCACAATACTTCATGCTTTAAGTTAGTACATATGAATAACTTATGATTACCTTAAAACAATTTTTATATTTGTTTCCTTTTTACATCTTATATTTCATCATTATTAAAATTTTTCTTATAAATATTTATATAAATATTAGATTAATGAACTCATATTTTAAACTTTTAAAAGAAAAACAAAAGGAAATAACATTGAATTATTATATTAAAATTAATTATTTTTTTTAATTATTAAAAAAAAAAAAAAAAAAAAAAAAAAAAAACATTATTACTCATTTGCATATATATATATATATATGCACATGCATATACTTTAAGTGTATTATATAGTTATCTTTTTTTATATAAATTTTTAAAA